GAGCCTCGCCCCTGGACGGGAGCGTCTGGTCGCCTAGCAACCGAACCTGCACCACAGAGCGAGAAGGCGCCAGGGAGACAGACTTCTCGAAACCGGGCTTCTGCACCTACTGTGGGCAACTGTGAGTGGTAAGGTGCCCTTTGGGAGAAGCGAAAATACCAGGGAAACTCTAGGGCTGTTCTTTAAACTTGCCTGGTAATAATACTTTCCCGAGGCACATGTTAAAATGCAAGACCCTGGACCTCCCTAGCAGACACGTTGTGGTGTGTCATCAAGTCAGAAGACTCCTCCAGCGGGTTTTCAAAGACAGTAAATAGCAGAGAAGGAGACTGCTCATCTTTCTCCCACGTAGCAACTGGTGGATTAGAACAACATACCTTTGCATTGGCAGTACAATTCCTTACCACCAAACCACCAGAGCTCCTTTAAAGCTAGGATTTCCAAGAGGACAGCCTGGAAGGGTTAATTTTTCGACAGATGCTAAATTCAGGCAAGACTGGGAAACAGCTCTAGAGGAGGGAGGCTCGGGTGGAGGGGAGAACTCCCCACTGAGGGAACTGGAATGGGGTCTAGACGTGAAAGGAGGAAAGGCTGAGGGCAGAAACTGAATGAAGGAAGACACGTTAGAGCACCTGGGGAGTCACTCCAAGGGAGAATAGAAATGGAAACTGAAATCTAGGAATCTAACACCTCAGCTGAAAGGAACTCTAGTGACTAGGGTGCGCTGCCAGCCCGAAGGTGCATGGTTCAAATCCACGAGCCCCTTTAAGGGAGAAAGCTTGGCAGTCTTTGTGATTGACTGCTTCTGAAAACTGAAGGGTCAGCTATGAAGTGGATCCGCTAGACAGTACTCCACACCATCACATGCGAAAAACTCAAACTCATTGCCATCGAGTTGGCAAGTTTTTCAAGGCTGTGTATGGCACAAAGGAAGCTGCCCATCTTTTCCCCACAGACCCGCTGGTGGATTTGAACCTCCAGAGAAGCGCAGTTTTTGGGTTAGCAGCGCAGCTCCCTGTGGACTATGCTGCCAGATCTCCTACTACGTGTAAATGAGCTCTTTAAACTGCTGGCAGATGTGTGGAGATGGTGACATTAGGGCAGTCAGAGGCCAGCAATAATATGTCTCAGGGCAAGAATGATGTCAAAGCAGTTTCTTTAACTTTAGAAAATGATCAACATTCTTCACAAAGAAAATGAAGGATCTCCCCTTGCAAATGTTGACATACATATACTTAATCCATTGTCCAATTTTCACATTATTATGATGACAAAAGATTAATATTCTTTAATAAAAAAGAATAACTTACCCCAAACAATTTTTTTCTGATTCTAGAATAACGAGAAAATATTAACAAGAAATCTAAGTGTAAAGTTTGTTGTTTTGTGCTGTCGAGATGCTTGCAACTCATAGCGACCCTATGCAGAATAGCTCTGAACCCTGCTCTATCCTGAGTCAATCTCACCGTCCTTGGGACACCTACCCTCATTATCCCAGTAATTGCGTCAATGCATCTCATCCTTCTCCAAATTACTTTCTGAAAAAAGAGCTTATCAGGCTCACAGAGTTCTCCTGGAGAGTGTAACCACATATCTAAGGAAGAAAAAGCAGAGTATTCCTTGCTGATATTATGAGATTAATAACTTTGATATTAAAACCAAGCCTAGATGGTGTAAGAAAATCAGTGGTCAGTCTGCTCCCAAGAGGGGTGCCGTGAGTCTGAATGAACTTGACAGCAACCAGATCCCTACTATGCTTGGTTTATCCCTGGAATATATTTTAGTATCAGAAAATGTATTAATGTATTCTGCTATATGATCTAATGGACAAAAGACACTTCATTAAAGAACACTTATACATATACATATACACATGCATGCATACATACATACAAACTCACTTCGATCAGCGACCTAGTAGTTAAATGTTATACACATTTCCTTTAACATCAGCAATATAACAATGACAGTACCTTGTTGCTATATTGCCACAACTGTTTTTAAATTCCCTTCAGCAAAATATTATATGTGAAATGAACAATATGGCTCATCAATTTCTACATTCTCTTGGATAATCTTTCTTTGTAATGGGCACAAATATGGACATCTCGTAGTTAGTTGGCCAGGTAGTTAGCTAGTTGCCTTCCAAATTTATTGTCAGAGATCAGTTTTTACCTCCAGTTTTGCATCTGTTTGTTGAAATGTCTCAATGGAAACCATCAATTTCTGTAGCCTTGTTTTTCACCAATGTCTTCAGTACCTTTTAGTACTATTTCTTTCCTTTTAACTGGTTTTTAACCATATGTTACCTTCTGAAGTGATTAAACAATGGCCAGTTCTTTGTAGTATAAATGTATTCCTTCCATTATCTTTTGATACTTCTTGCATGTTCATGATTTAGCCCACGAGTCACTACAAAAGATGTCATTTCTGAGTCATAGTGGTTTCTGAGGCTATATTCTTAACTGGAAAAGACTATGTAAAGTTTCTGGGGAAAAATCTTAACTGGAGAAAGCTACCCATCCTTCTCCCTCAGAGCCAGTGAGGCAGTCAAATCTCAGGAGACACATAGCCTTTTGGTGATAGTATTATTGTTGTATGTCAAGAGTCAGAACCAACTCATGGCTGACTCTTCAGTGGGTTTTCAGAGGCTACAAATCACACAGAGGGAGACTGCCTATCTTTTCCTGAGCAGCAACTGGTGGATTTGAACTGCTTGCCTTTTGGTTGGCAAAACAACTCCTTACTACTAGGCTACCACCTTACCACTAGACCATCTCCTTATTTGATCCATAGAATCTTTCCTTATTGCAACTCAAGGCTTGCACTGTTTGCCCCTCCTATTTGTTCTTTCAGCTTGACAAATACTGAACATGTTCTCTTTTTGTTTGGTTTGGTTCTTTTTTTAACTTAAAAAGAGTGAAGGGCATGTGAGGACAACCATATCTGACCTTTATCAGCTTTATAGGGGTAATTGTCACCATCCACAGCATCAGTACAGTAAACAAAGTAAATTCCAATGGGGTCAAACATGTCCCCCATGCTCTCACACCTCTTTCTACTCAGCTCAACATCAATCTGACTGATTTGTTGGGTTAAAAATCTTATGTGATAGCTCACAGACCACACAGACCATATTACAGAAGTCAAAAGATTATAATCCAGATTAATTATAGAAGAAAGTCAAGACAGTTCAGCCTTAAGCCTTGTGGCTCCAGGCCCTCGTTCTCAAGTTTTCAGTCCTGCCAGTATTGACTTCCCTCCCCAGAGTCCCATCTCATGTCACTTCTCCTGTTCAGCCATGGCAGCTGCTGCTGTCCTGAAACATGTCCTACATTTTCTGCCTCTTCTTTACCAGGGTGGGAAGGTCTCTTTTCTCTTCTCTGGCTGGGGAGGACTCCATCTCTGCAGCTAGAGCTGTTTAATTTATTGGCAAGACTAATCAATCCTCTTGTAGACTGCTGAGACTGGCCAATCCTCTCATGGAATGGTAGATAGCAAAATCCCTTTGTGATTAAGCCAACATGTTCTATTTGCATAGTCCTGCCCACTCACATGGCCAGTCATCAATATTCAAATAATCCTAGAAAAGCTATACTGAAAGACAAATTCCATGGTTTGAAATGACTATATATGTTGATTGTTTATGTGTTAATAATTATGGTAACTATAGTGCACTGGGAAAACCAGTAGTCAGGGACCACTCCAAATTACTGAAGATTAATGATGTCAGTTTGAGGACTAAGGTGCACCTTGATTAAGGTCATGGGTTTTTTTTTAATCACTTGCTGTGCATCTGAGAGCTGGAAAATGAATAAGGATGACAAAAGAAGAATTCATGCATTTGAATTGTGGTGTTAGAAAAGAGTATTGAATATTCCATGGACTTCCAAAAGAACAAACATGCAGCCAAAATGCTCCTTGGAGGCAAAGATGACAAAACTTCATCTCACATGTCTTGGGCATGTTTCTAAGAAATGTTGTTCCTTGTAGAGGAACATCATGCTTGGAAACCTGGCACAACAGCAAAGGAGAGGAAGACCTTCAGCCAGGTGGATTGACAGAGTGACTGCAGCATTGGGCTTGAGTGTATCAGAGATTGTGAGGTTGGCACAGGATAAGACAGGGTTCAGATCTAGGATTCCTATGAGCCATACTTGACTCAACTGCACCTAACAACAAAAGCAATTTAAAAAAATTTGTACTACTGACACACACACACACACACACACACACACACACACACACACACACACACACCATAGACACAGACTGACTCTTGAGTTTAGGAAATATGGTTACCTTAAATTTATGGAAAAGAGGAGCCAGGAAGCTCATAGCGTTTTCGTACTAGCTTGAATGTTTTGGGACAGATCTGGATCTTCATTTCTTCACTTGATCAATAAGAATTGCTGTTGAGTATTGTTGAGCTGGAACCAAATCCAACCCTTCTGGTGGGTTTTCAGATGCAGGTAATCAGGTAGGAGGAGACTAATCATGCCTTCAGAATTCTAGTTCAGCTTCTTACCACTAGACCACCAGAGTTCCCCTCAATAAAAATAGTGGACAGTATTCCTTGATGAATTGTTAGACTTTATAGAGAGAAGAGTATTTTAAAGAATGTCCTACAATGATAGTTCAGTATTACTCAGAGAGAAGAAAACATTTAAAAGTGAATGATTTTTTTCACCACCATTTAAAAATTGGATACATTTTACAGATTAAATAATTTTCATGTTTCAAAAATTTCTTACAAAGAACATTCAGTCTATAAACTTAGAATTATCTAAATGTCCCTTAAGCATCTATACATTAGCTTACACAATAGTTTCATTTAAGAAATTTAAAGGTCAGAATATTCTTTCCTAAATTGATGTGTGATATTGTAACTCTTTTTCCTTTAATTTTTAGAAAGTTGGAGATAAGCCATAAACTAACTCTGCCTCTTGAGATGGTATCACAACAGGCCCACTGCTGTGGGTTTGGTTCATAGGAAAATCATGGTTCGACTGACTTTGGATCTAATTGCTAAAAACAGCAATTTTAAGCTCAGGAAAGAAGAAACAACTTTACAGCGTCTGAAGAAAATAACTCATATAAATTTTTCAGATAAAAATATAGATGCAATTGTAAGAACTCTAAATTCATCTCCTACTTTTGTATTACTAACAATGTAAACTTTAGAAATTGGTGGTAAGGCACCCTACTAATTTTTTTAATTATACTTGTAACTAGTCTTCAACTGGTATATTTTGCATTTTATTTTCATTTTAATTTCCTATTTGTGATAAAAGTGATGTCCTTCCAGTCATTTTCCTAGGCATATATGCATACATTTTACAACAGTGCATCACAGTATGGTTTTTTCACAGTATGTTTTTACTTTATTATGGAATCAATAAAATATTACTAAAGAAATGAAATATTTAATGGTTTTATGATGTTCTCTTTTATAGTAGTGTAATAATTTGTTAATACATTATTCTTGGTTATTTAGATAAATTCCAGTTTTCAGTATTATAAACCAAGACAATTTATTTCCAATTCTACAGAAATACTTAAGCCTTGATTTGTAATGGGCGAGTAGTAATGTCTTAAATGCTGTAACTTCCAGAAAAATTAGCTTCTTCCAAGGAGAATAGTTTGATTGGGAGAACAGCTTTTTTATTTTTTTTGAGAACAGCTTTTAATAAATACATTTTTAAAAACATCATATTAGAACACTAAAGCCCAGAGCTACTTTTCTAATCATTGTATAGTTTTGTATTGACTGTGCTAATGACAAAGAAATGCTGTTCTTTGCTGAATTTTTTTTGAATGATCAAGTGAAAACTTTCTTAAATAGGAACTTTGATTTTCAGGAAAAATTAAATATTACTTGTTTTTGTTTTCCTTTTAGGAAGACCTCTCTCTTTGCAAAAATCTTAGTGTTTTATATTTATATGATAACCATATTAGTCAAATTGCTAACTTGAATTTTGCCACAAATTTGACTCATTTGTACCTACAAAACAATTGTATTTCATGTATAGAGAACCTCAGTTCATTAAAGAAACTGGAAAAATTGTAAGTGCTTTTCTTTTAAGTAATGTAAATGTCATCATTACAGTACTTATATTTTATACACACAGATATTTCCATTATGTTCATTAAATGCAAAATGTAAAATAAGTATGAAATATAAAGTCTTAATTCTCATATGAATTTAAAAAAATGGTCCTCAAGACCTTTTGAGTATTTGTGTGTGTGTGTGTGTGTGTGTGTGTGTGTTTTATACTATTGATACCAATACAAAAGAAATTCTTTCACACTTAATACTCAGCAATATGTTTTATTATGCCTGATAGTTTTAATGAGGGGAGCTGAGTTATCTGGAAGACTTGTTGCTATTGTCATGTCTCACTGAGTTAATTCCTACTAAAACCATCAACTGCCATTGGGTTAGTCCAAACCTGTATGACAGAGTAAAACTTCCCTATAGGGTTTCTGAGGCAGTAAAACTTTACAGAAGTAGACTGCCATATTATTCTCCTACCAAGCTGCAGGTGGATCCAAGCCACTCACCTTTTGCTTAACAATTGATTGCCTTAACTACCGCAATACCTGAGCTTTGTCTACTCCTACTCACAGAACGAAAACCACCATCTTCAATTAGATTCAGTTTCACGGTGGCCCTCAATTGGCTTTCCAAAGATGAAGATCTTTAAAGAAGGGGACTGCCTCATCTTTCCCACACAGAGCAGTCAGTTCATTTAAAGCCCTGAACTTGAGGCTAGAAGTCCAACATGTAATAAGCACTAGTACAATGCCACCACAGTTCCTTTTCCTCAGAACCACTATTGTTGACCAGGGCTCTTTATGGGTAACATTAAGAAGATCAGAAATCCCAGAATACTTAATGGTGTTCATGTGAAACCTACACTTTGAGAAACTGCTGTCCAAACAGAGCAAAGGAACACTGCATGGTTTAAAATCAGAAAGAGTGCGCACTTGTGTTATATTCTTTCACCATATCTCTTCAGTCTGAATGGTGAGTGAATCATTCAAAGGCCTGGACTATGCGAAGAAGAATATGGCAATCAGGGTTGGAGAAAGACTCATCAACAACTTGCCTTAAGCAGATCACATAATTTGCTTATTCAGAGTGAAGAGGACTTGAAACACTTGCTGGAGATCAAAGACTACAGCTTTCAATATGGACTGTATTTCAACATCAGTAAAACAAAAATCCTCACCACTTGACCAATAGGCAACACTGTCAAAGATAGAGAAAAGACTGAAGTTGTCAACGATTTCATCTTGCTGTGTCCACAATTAATGCCAATGGAAACAGCAGTCAAGAAATCCAAGGACAAGTTGCATTGATAAAATCTGTCAAGGACCTTTCCAAAATGCTAAACAACAAGGATGTTAGTTTAAAGACTAAAGTGTGTCTTATCCAAGCTTTTCGGTTACTTCCTATGAATCTGCAAGTTACACAATGAATAAGAATGGCAGAGGAAGAATAGATGCTTTTGAATTGTAGTGTTGGAGAAGAGTATTGAATATCCCACCCATTGCCAAAAGAACAAGTCTATCTTGGAGAGTTGCAGCCAGGGTACTCCTTTGAGGTAAGGATGATGAGATGGAACCTCGTCTAATATACTTTGTGCATATTTTCAGGAAGACCACTCTTTGGAAAAAGACATGATGCTGGGAAAGGTGGAGGTCCATAGAGAGGAATCAAGACTCTCAAAAAGATGGATTGGCATGGTAACTGTCATAGGGAGCTCGAATATGTCAGAGATGGTGAGGTTGGCATTGTCGTTAGATGCTAGTGAGTCAAATATGGCTAATAGCCACCCAATTAACAACAGATCTGAACTCTGTTCTACCCTCACACTTCCTAACACATTAGAGCCTAATGAAGCAGTCATCATGTCAATCCACCTGGTCAAGGATCTTCTTTTCCTTTGCCTATCTGCCACCTTTCTGACCCTCATATCTCTTTGGAAGGAATAGCTTCTCCTAGCAACATGCCCAAAGTATGTCAGGCGAAGCCTCATCCTTGACTTCAAAGAGCACTCTGGCTGCATCCTTTCCAAGACATACTTGTGTATTCTTTTGGAAGTCCATGGGATGTTCAGCAAGCAAAATATTGCTGAAGATCATTCAAAAAACAGCTAGAACAGTACATAGATAGGAAACATCCAGAAGTTCAAGCAGGATTTAGATGAGGCTGTGTCACCAAGGATATCATTGCTGATATGAGATGTATCCTGGCTGAAAGTAAAGACTACCAGAAGAATGTGTTTTTTTGCTTAATTGACTATGAAAAGGAATTTGACTGTGTTGATCTTAACAAGTTATGGCTAACACTGAGAAGAATGGGAATCCCAGAGCACTGATGGTGCTCATGGAAACCCTATACCTAGACCAGGAGGATGGCATAGGTAAGGGAAAAATTCAGATCTGCTGTTCATAGAGTTTTTAAGAGTTGCAGTTGATTACTTGACCCCTAACAACAACAACAATATCATCATATAGGCTTATCTGGTTAAAAAGTCCCATGGAACCTTGATGAGTCTGTCAGAAGATCAAGTCTCAAAAGGATAGGTCTACATGTATCAGGGAGCTCTGGTCAGTAAAAAAGGATGGATCCAATTTCTCTTATAATGGAAGAATTATCAGTGCTTCTTAATAAGTAGGTCAAAGGCCTTGGGAAGTGGAGATGAGAGTGAGAGTGAGGTGGGTAAAGCTAATGAGAAATTTGAATTACTGTATTTCAACCTTTACCTCCAATCCAGGTGACTCTTCGGTATCTTAACATTTGAGAATCACTGATGCAGAGTTTAATAAAGACCACTTTAATGCTCTAACCTTTTTGAAAAAAAAGTTAAAAATTTATTTCTTAGACTACATGAAGTATATGAATAAATGTATTGCCATTTAGAGAAATCTTTCGTGGATTAAATATAAACAGAATATTCTGCATGTGTCATTTTAGGGAACACTTTAATTACTATGTGTTTATCATCATGTTTATAGGTTGTGGTTTTTTTATGGGTTTTTTCCCTTCCTCCCCTCCCCCCCCAGATATCTGGGTGGCAACTACATTGCCGTCGTGGAAGGTTTAGATGGATTAGAAGAACTGAGAGAGCTTCACGTTGAAAGTCAGAGGCTCCCCCTAGGAGAAAAACTTCTATTTGATCCACGAACTCTTCATTCTCTGAGAGTAAGGACCATTTACATATTTTGACAAGGGATGTAGTGATTAACCACGTCAGTAAGGAGGTGTACTACTAACCGAAATGAGGCATGTGTCTGGCAGTTTTAATTCACCAGTGGCTCCATGACAGAAATGTGGACAGTCTCCTCCCATGTGGTTCACAGTTGCACAAAACCCACTAGAGTGTCAGCTATGAGTCAGTACTGACCTTGTGGCAATGAAATTTTTTTTTTAGTTGTGTCCTTTCTTTGGCAATGAGATATTTGAGATCATGGTTAATATGCTGCTTTGCTTCATGGGTCTGGAAGCCCGTCATGTGGTCACATGTGAGTCTTTTGGTCCTGTTGCTGCTCTCAGCTGCTGCTTTGAGGCATATTGCACCATCTCTGATGTATGGCTTTATGTGTCTCAGTGAAGGGACCCCAGATGCAAAGGAAACATTCCGCTCCTAGCTCTTCTTCTTTGGTAATAGTGACGTCCCCTCCTTGTTGTGGGATTGGTTTTTCCTATAAGCCTAGGAGGATGGTGAAAATGACCAATCCCCTTGTTGTTGCTAGGTGCTGTTGACTATGACCCATAGCAACTCTATAAACGACAGATCTGAATCTTGCCCTACCTATACTGTGCCACCCTCAACCATTTCTGACATGTTTGAGCCCACTGTTAAAATCATTGTGCCCATTCTTGTTGCTCCATACTTTGGGCACATGGCCAGGAGAGACCAATCCATGGAGAAGTACATCATGCTCAGAAGGGTGAAGGGACAGCGCAGGAGAGGAAGACCCCAGATAAAATGGATTGATACAGTGACTAGGGCAATGGGGGTTGGTGTGTCGGAATTAGGGAGACTGGCTCAGGACAAGAAAGGGTTCAGAGCTGCTCTACATAGGGTCACAGGTGACTTGATGGCATGTAACAACAATGAACAACATATTGGTTGTTTTTTATTTAAGCCTCTTGTTTAGAGTCAACAAGAACTCATGGAGGGACTTTGTATTTAAAAGTTGGTTGTTACTATATTTTGGAGGAACATTCTTCTAAGCGGTACAGCACTCTTTTGTCAATTTACTGAGGTAATTGGGGGTTGCTGAGATGCTTGTACCTTGTGCCATTAGGGTGTCAAATGCTATAAAGGTTACCCATGGTGGACAGTGATTGATGGATCTCCCAGTTTAAGAAAAGTTTAGAAGCAGGAGTGGCATCCACTTTCTAAACAACATGCCTCTGTAAACTCTATGAACTTGGAGAAATGATGATAGTTATAGAAAGGCTTCAAGTCTTTAAATTGTGTTTAAATCGTCGGTAATCATCAACAACATTGGTCCAGTGGTGAGAATTTTTGTTAGGGTTCCATATGCTTATTTGCATGCTCTAACCATCACAGGGCTTCTATGCCATTCAGTTGTATTATGAGTAATGATAATCAGAATGATAATCTCCTTGGTGAACAACAAGCACATTATTTGCATAACCCCACCCAATAATTCTGTCCAAGTTAAAAACCAAGGCTTAAAGAAAGGCTGGCTCCAATTTTGGACAGTAGACATAAATGTTCTCAGTAGTTACAAGGAGTTAAAGGGCTCAGATGCTAACCAAAATATTGGAGGTTAAACTTTCGCCAGATGCACTGTGGAATGAAGTCCTGGTGATCTATTTCCAAAACCCTGGGCTTTGAAAACCTCATAGTGTCATAACCACTGTCATAAAACTCTACTCTGACACGCATGGGGTCATTAAGTCAGAACTTACCAAAAGATTTTTGTTTTTAAGATATAAATGTGACAGGGTAATTATTTTCACAGACTTCATTAGTGTTATTTTAGAAGGAATAGAAATAAAGGAAAGTGAAAGATTTTTAAACTGAGCTATAAAAACGGAGGTGTTGTCTTTTCAATCAGGAAAGAAAAAAACTAGTTTCCATTCTTTCCTCTCTGTCCTTTCCATAAAATCAACTATCACCGATTTCAGCACATCCTCAATGGATCCAATTAGAATGACCCAACTGTGAGTGAAGATGGCTAGTTTTATTATAAAATACCACTGAACACCATTTTGCTGGCCTTGTTTTTGCATATATTCACCAGAATATCAAATCCTTAGTATAAGGCATAATTTCTTTCAGTTGTGTTTCAAATTTTAACATGTATTGGGAAGCATCTTCTCTAAAGATTGGCTGTGGGCAGAAACTCTTTTGTAGAAGCTCCAAGGCCCAGATTTTATTATGGTCACTGTATTTACACTATGTTCTCATTAACACCTAACATCAAAATTCTACTTGCTGACTAGTGCATTATTTTACGTGGCTTATGAATATGAATATATATATATTTATATCTTATATATATAAAATAAAGAGAAAATTATATTTAGAAGTAGAGATGAATAAAAAAAACATGACTAGTCTTTAATTCTTTTCCTTTAAATTTTTAAAACTAATTTTAATGAAAGTTTACAAAGACTTAGGGTTTCCAGTCATTCATTGTTGCACTTTTCTCCCTACCCACACCTCCCCGCACTTCACTCTTCTCCTTAAAAAGAAAGAAAAACTCTTTCATTTTTATACAGTCCCTCCCCACCAAGTCCACTCCACTATGTATCCTTCACCCTGCACTTCTGTAATGACAAGAATACCCATTCATGTATCCTTTTTAAACAATTCTCTCCCTCATCTGTTTTAATGCAATATACATCATTCCTCCCCTCCTTTTCTGTCTTCCCTCAACCCTGATGTCAGTCCTGTTTTACAACAGTGGTCCTATGCAATATCTGTCCTTTTGTGACTGAGATATTTCCCTCAGCATAATGTCCTCCAGGGTCACCCATTTTGGATAATACTGCATGAGTTCATTGTTTTTCAATGCAGTGCAGTATTCCACTGTGTGAATATACCCCCAGAGCTTCTCTAGCCATTCGTTTGTTGATGGGCACTTGAGGTGTTTCCAGCTCTTTGCTATTGCAAACAAAGCAGCAATAAACATGTGTGTGCAGGTATCTGCTTGGGTGGCAGTATGGGTTTTTTTAGGGTAAATTCCCAGTAGTGGAATTGCTGGGTCAAATGGTATCTCTATTTGCAACTTTTTGAGAAAGCGCCGTACAGCCTTCCATAGTGGTTGCACCATTTTACACTCCAACCAACAGTGAATAAGGGTTCTGGTTACTCCACAACCTCGCCAGCATGTGTTGTTTGCTGTTCTGTTAAATTTCGGTATTCTGACTGGGGTGAGATGATATCTCATAGTTGTTTTGATTTGCATCTCTCTTAGAGCTTGGGATTTTGAACATTTCTTCATGTGTTTGTTTGCCATCTGAATGCCTTCTTTAGTGAAGTGTCTGTTCATACCCTGTGCCCATTTTTAAATTGGGTTATTTACCTTTATCTTGTGGTGGTGCTGAAGTATTTTATAAATTCTAGATATAAGTCCCTTGTCTGACATGTCATTACCAAATATTTTTCCCCCAATCTGTGGCCTCCCTTTGTATCCTGTTGGAGAAGTTTTTGAATGTGCATAGAGATTTGATTCTTAGAAGGTCCCATTCATCTATTTTATCCTCTACTGGTTATAGAGAGTCTTTAATTCTTGGTCATAGCTCCTATTTAGAACACCAAAGACAAAACCTGTTTTTCCCCATGTAAGTACAAATCTTAATTTGCACAAAATGGTCATTTGCCTAAACTGAAATAAGCATTTTAAAAATATATTATCTTTTGTTTACTTTATTGGAGCATCTTTTCCCAGTTTTTGTTTCTTGCTTTTAGCTTTTTTAAAATTTCTCATATTTTACGATAATAAAGTAGAATTTATAGAGAAACTACAGGCAAATATAGTAAATAATATTTCAATACTTCTGTTTCTGTGTTTCTAGAAGTTCTGCCTGAAAAAACAATATGATATAGAAACAAAATTTCCATGGCTTTTCATTTCTCTCTATAAAGAGGGGAGAAAACAGCCAAAAAGTTGATTAATCTTTAACTTGTCAAGAAAGAATACTGCATTGAAACATATGAGGGAGAGAACTTTTTAAAAGGGATACAAGATTAGGTATTATTGTCATGACAGGAGTCCAGAACGAAGGCTGCGTAGTGGACTTGGAGGGAGGGATTGTATAATAATGAAAGAATTTTTCTTTTACTTTTCAAAGAGAAGAGCGAACTGGGGAGGGGGAGGTTGGGCAGGGAGAAGAGTGCAACAATGAATGAACAGAAATTAAGAAAATAAGTTAAAAAAAAGAAAAGAAAAGAAAGCATCATAAATGTCTGGTTCCTACATATGATGCTGCCAGAGTATAAATCAACTTGACTGGAAAGGGTTTTAATTTTTGTTATATGGTAATTTGTTTTTTTCCCCTACAGAAATCCCTCTGTGTGCTGAATATCAGCAATAATAATATTGATTACATAAAAGACTTAGAAATACTGGAGAATCTTCATCATCTCATAGCAGTTGACAATCAACTTCAGCAGGTGAAGGTACTGCATGTAAAGAAAGGTTAATTTTAAAGTATTTACATAAAATTTTAATGGACATATGTTTGGAATTACCTTCAAAACAATTCTGGTTTTGTTCCATGGCTAGTATGACACTATACTTCTTAATATGTTTACTTGCATCATTTCTGCCTTCTTATCTGGCTTTCTCTTCTATCCCTCAATGCCTCAATCACTCCTCAATTTTAGAAAAGTTCTTCTGAAAGGAAATACATGCATTCTCCCTCCCCTTATTATTTTTTCATCAGACATTTTATCTCAAGACTAGATTTCTTGCCCCTTAACTCAGAACTCCCAGTGACTGAGTTTCTAATAACTGTAACCAGCACTGAGTTAACTTTCTTCTGGCTGCTACTATTTTAGGTAATACCCTGGATCTCAAACTTACCCTAATTTGCACTACCTATTATTCTCATGTTATCTCATATAATGTCATAATCATTCAATTATTTATGCATTGAAATATGAATTGTCTGTCTACATATCTGCCAGGCTACTACTATGTAGGGTAGAACAGGAGGGAAAGTCGTGGGCCTCAAGGAACTCACCAAACCCATTTTGCCACTGAGTCATTTCCCACTGAAGGTAACTCTCCATCAGGTTTCCCAGGCTGTAAATATTAACAGGAGGAAAACAGTCTCATCTTTCAGCCAAGTTGTGGCTGAAGGGTTCAAACCTCAAACCTTTCAATCAGCAGACCAGCATGCATTTGACCTACTAAACCACCAGGCCTCCTTCAAGAACCTGCTGCACTCCTCAAGAACTGAGACTAGCAATGTGCTTCTGTTTTCCTAAGTGTGGTGGTAGCTGTAACTCGGCTGGGGTAAGGAGGGCTTCCTGGACACAGTTACCTGTGAGCTGAACCATAGCAGTGGCCATGAACTTGCAGTTTCTGGTTTAACAATAGGGTAGATTGTGGAACAATTTCTTCAGTGAGGAGCAGAGGATAAAGAATGGGCTCCTTTCACTAATGGAGCAAAGCTCTTATCTGCAAAACTATTTTCAGACAACTTTCTATACATCTTGAAAAAATGTTACCCTTCATCTTCAATCAAAAGCCAGGCCTAATGTGTAGTTTATCTTATAATTGCTATAAGCAATACGTGAATAAAATATTGAACTGAATTTAATAATACAAATATGAATATATTCTAGTAAAAATGAATTCCTCAGAATATCTACTAGTCATCATGTAAATGAAATTTGAAACCAAAATGTAATACCATTGTTGTTCTTCTTGTTACCTGTCATTGAGTTGCTTGCGACTCATAGTGACCCTCTATGTACAAGAGCTCTGAAACCTGCTCCATCCTGTGCCAACTTTACTATCTCCCACACACCCTTATTACCCCAGTTACTGAATCAATCCATCTCATCGAGGATCTTCCTCACTTTCTCTGTCCCTACACACTTCCAAGCACGATGTCCCTCTCCAAGGTTTGTCTCCCCTTACAACATGCTCAAAGTATGTCAGAATAAGTCTCAGAAGCCTTGCCTCCAAGGAGCAGCCTGGCTTCACCCTCTCCAGAACAGCACTCCATGGTATATTCAACACTCTTCTCCAGCACCACAGCTCAAAGGCATCAATTCTCTATTATCCCTAGTCATTGTCCAGTTCTCTGATGCATTGCAAGCAATTGCGAAGACTATGGCCTGGATGAGGTGCACGTGTCTCCAGACTGGTGTTGTTGCTATTCAGTACTCTGGAGAGGTCCCTGACAGGTGACTTTCCCAATGCAATTTGTCTCTTGATTTCCTGGCTGCTTGTACCAAGAGTGGTGATGGTTGAGCCAAGCAAACAAAAGCTATTAACAATCTCAACCTCTTCATCATCTATCATAATGCTCCCAATTGCACCAGTGGTGAGAATCTTTGTTTTCTTGATGTTGAGCTTCAATCCATATTTAAGGCTATAGTCCTTGACCTTCTGCATCAAGCGCTTCAGGTCCTCCTCAGTTTCAGCAAGCAAGGTTGTGTCATCTGCATGATGCAGGTTGTTAATGAGTCTTCCTCCAATCCTGATGCCCCATTCCTCCTCATACAGCCCAGCATCCTGGATGATCTGTTCTTGTATATAGATTGAAAAGGTTTGGAGATAGGATACATCCTTGGCATACACCCTTCCCAATTTTGAACCATGCAGTGTCTCCTTGCTCTCTTCTGATGGATGTTTCAAAATTGAAGGATAGTTTTCCAGATTGAAATGGGCTCCCAGTTGCCCAGGACAGTAGTTGAAAAATGATGACCACCAAAGTCCATCCTTAAAAATTTTAGAACATTACATATAAAAAGAATACACGAAGGACTCTTACAGACAAAACAAATTTACTGCCATTGAGTCAGAACAGATCATAACTGGCCCTCAAGTGAGTTTTCAGAGGCTGTAAATCACACAAAAGACTGCTTATCCTTCTTCCTCACAGCAGCTGGTGAATTCAAACAGCTTGTCTTTGGGTTGGTAATACAACTCAATAACCATTGTTGTTATATAACATCAAGTCAGGACCAACTCACAGCTGAACCTCCAGTAGTTTTTTAGAGGCTATAAATCACACTGGAGAAGATTGCTCATTTTTCTCTCTCAGAACAGCTTGTGTATTTGAACCACCAGGTTTTGGGCTGACAGAACAATTCCTTACCCATTAGGCAACCAGAGCTCCCTAACCACTAGGCAACTGAAAAGACAAAGAATCAGGCACAAGTCAAGACGTAACCAGAGTTTATCAGATCCTTCTATCTATAATATAATAAAATAATGCATCTAAAATTTTATGGGAAAATAATTTTCAATCTAGAATTATGGGATCAATTTTAAAAAAAAATTTTATTTTATACTAGCGGAAACTATAGAACACTATCATTGATTTCACACGCAAGCAAGATTCTACTGAAGATTATCCAAAAACGACTGGATTGGCATAACAGCAGAGAACTGCCAGAAGTCCAGGCTAGGTTTAAAAGGGGTCGTGGTACTAGGGATATTGTAGCTAATGTTAGATGGATCTTAGCTGAAAGCAGGGAGGACCAGAGGAATGTCTATCTGTGTTTCATGGACTATGCAAAGGCATTTGATTGTGTGGATCATAACAAATTGTGGCTGACCCTGAGAAGAATGGGAATCCCAAAACACTTGATTGTGCTAATGAGAAACCTATACTTGGACCAAAAGGCAGTCATCAGAACAGAGCAAGGAAACACTGCATGGTTAAAAATTGGAAAGGGCATACGCCAGAGATGCATCCTATCTCCATACCTTTTCAATCTATATGCAGAACAGATTATCCAGGAGGCTGGGCTCTATGAGGAGAAATGTGGTATCAGGATTGGTGGAAGATATAGCAACAATCTGCATTATGCTGAAACTTGCTGAAACTGAGGAGGACCTGAAGCGCTTGCTGCAGAGGGTCAAGGACTGCAGCCTTCAATATGGATTGAGCCTCAATGTCAAGAAGACAAAGATTCTCACCACTGGACGAATTGGCAGCATTAGGATGGATGGTAAAGAGATTGAGATTTTTCACAGCTTTAGTTTGCTTGGCTCCACAGTCAACACTCTTGGCACCAGCAGCGAGGAAATTAAAAGACATATTGTGATAGGAAAGTCTGCTGTTAGAGACCTTTTCAAAGTTCTGAAGAGCAATGGTGTCTCTCTGGAGACTAAGGTGCATCTGAGACAGGCCATGGTCTTTGAAATCACTTGTTATGCATCAGAGAGTTAGACAATGACTAGGGAAGATAGAAGAGGAATTGATGGCTTTGGGCTCTGGTGCTGAAGAAGAGTATTGAGGGTACCATGGACTGCTAATAAAACAAACAGATTCATCCTGGAGAGGGTTAGACCAGGCTGCTCTTTGGAGGCAATGATTCTGAGGCTTTGTCTGACATACTTTAGACATGTTGTAAGGAGGGACTGGTGCTTGGAGAGGGACATCATGCTTGGGAGGGTGGAGGGACAGCGCAGGAGAGGAAGGCCCTCTATGAGGTGGATTGATTCAGTGACTGGGGTAATTGGGATGGGTGTATGGGAGACAGTGCGATTGGCACAGGATAGAGCAGAGTTTAGGGCTGTTGTACAAAGGGTCATTATGAGTCGCAAGGGACTCCAGGGCACATAACAACAACAGTTTACTTAAGAAGTTTATATACATTGTTTTACACACCAGATATTTCCCCTTTCCTTTACCCACCCCTAGCTCCACCCATCAAATTGTGTAACCCTATGATTACGCACTCTCCTCCCCACCCATCCTCACCCCTCTGCTCCCCTCCCTACCTTGGATCCTCACATATGTTCTACAATAATGGTCTTATACAGTATTAGTCCTTATGGGACTGAATTAGTTCATGTAATATAATGCTCTCCAGTCTCTCTCAAGTTAGGTAATAATTTACAAAATCATTGATTCTGTATGCTGCATAGTATTCCATTGTGTGAACGTACCATAATTTCTCAATCCATTCCATTGTGATTAGACATTTGAGCTGTTTCTATGTTCTTGCGATGGTGAATAACGCTGCTATGAACATTGGTGTACAAGCCTCCATTTGTGCCTCAGTTCTCATTTTCTTGGTATATTCCAAGTACTGGAATAGCTGGGTCATATGGAATTTCTGTGTTCAGCTCTTTGAGGAAACATCAAACTGCCTTCCAGAGTGGTTGTACCATTTTCCAATCTCACCAACAATATATATGAGTTCTCATCTCACCACATCCTCTCCAACATTTATTACTTGCTGCCCTGTTAAACTTTGCCACTGCTCTACTGGGCTAAGATGATATCTCATTGTGATTTTGATCAATTTTTCAATTATGAGCCTTTTAAAATATGCTAGTTCTAAAAAAATTTTACATCATCCATGTCCTGTCTCAGGAAGCTTTTGGCAAATAAACTCCATCCAAACAGGAGAGTAAAGGGAAGACAAGGGATCTAGGAAGTGAGAAAAGGCAAAGGTAATTCCCAGAATGAATATGAAGGGAGATT